ATCCCAATTCTGCCTTACAAATCCAGCTAGACCAGAGGATGTACACTGGTACAGATAGGAACTGGAAACACAGGGAATCCAGGACAGATGATCCCTTCAGGACCAGTGGTGAGTGGCGATACTGGGGGGTAGAGGAACGGTGGGGTAGAAAGGCGGAACCATGGAGCTTACGTGGAGAGCAAATGTTTTGAGAATGATGAGGATAACGAATGTACAAATGTGCTTTATATAACTGATGTATGTATGGATTGTGATAAGAGTTGTATGAGCCCCCAATTAAATGATTAAAAAAGTGCCAAACCCAAAGTGCTGCAGGTGGAAATGTCGGCGCACTCTAAAGCAGCCTGGGTCCAGTGTAGCTTTCTGTGATGACAGAGATGCTCTGTGTACTTGGTTGTCAAGCGGCTTATGTGACCTAGGTAGTGCAACTGACGGGCTGTATTTTTATTATTTTTAATAAACCCCAAACCCTCTGCTGTTGAGTCAATTCCAACTCATAGAAACACTACATCCATGGATTTCTGAGATTGAAATTCAATCTTCCCAGGAGCAGATAGCCGCCTTTTCCTCCCTTGGAGCAATGAGTGGGTCTTCAGTGCCAATCTTGTGGCTCGCAGCCATTTAGCAGTTTGGTTTATTTATTATCTTTCTTTAAGAGGTAGGCTCAAATAGGCATAACCACCCTAGATGTCTTAGAAGAAGTATGGCCAGAATACTCCTTAGAGGAAAGGATGGCAAGGTGTCATCTCATGGATTGTCCATATTGCCACCAGACAGTTCCTGGAGGAGGGCATCATGCATGGTGGATAGAGGGACAGCAAGGAAACAAAGGACAAAAAAATAAAGGAAGGCCCTCATCGAGATCGAGTGAACCAGTGGCTGCAATGGTGGGCCCAAGCAGAGGAACCATTGTGAGGATGGTGCAGGACTGAGCAATATTTCGTTCTATTGAGCATCAGGTCACTGTGGGTGGGAGCCAAGTGGAGAGCGCCTAACCACCACCATCCCCGCGTTGGACAGCCCAGCGCTCCCTTATCAACATTCTGAGGGACATACAAACGTTTGGGAAGACTGGGTTTACAGCGAGAGTTGTTCCTATTTGGTAATAACTTTTGTCATGAATGACGTCTACCTTATCTGTTAAAGCGACTACTAACAAGTGAAAATAAAAAGACAACGGCAAAAATGAGCAAACAATACAAAAAAGTACTACAGGTTTAAACACAAATCTCCTTTGGGTCAAACCCCTTTGCTCTGCGTATGCACGGAGCGCAGAGTCAGAGAAGAAAAATAAACGAAAGCCACCAATACAAAGAATTAGAAAAATAAGCATTTTAGAAGTTATTTATGTTTAATGCTTAAAAGTCTGAATGCAACAAACAATCTACCATTATAGAAGTACTGGTGGGTCAATACAATGCATTAGAACTATGTACAATGCACAATTTAGTATCAAAATCTTTCTACACTGTGGAGGTTTACGAAACTGTTAATGACATCAAACACTACGCACTTAAGACACCTTTTTTTCTGCTACCACATTAGGAACGTCAGTGGACAGTCCATTTCAACTTGCAGCATCCATCCATTTCTAGTAAGAAATTAAGTGATTTTCTACTTACACAATAAAGTTTATCTACACGGTTCTCTTGATTTTGATCCATAGCAGCAAAGGCACTGTACATCAGCAGATCCACAGACTTAAAAGGTTTTTTTTTTTTAAAGCATTCAAACAAACAAACAAACAAACAAAAATAGGAATAAAAAAAGGAGGAGTCACATATCATAGTTGAACAGCAACAACAACAACATAAAAGGTAACACAACGTCTCTGGCACAATGGCACAGCCTGTGTCCATAGTGGGGACATCCAACTCAGACATAGAAAGAACCGGAGGTCAAGAGAGAAAGTCCTCGTCCCAGGTGTGAGCGTCCATTCTTCCTGTTTGTCAGAGGGAGGCTCTTGCAAGTCCTCCTCTGCCGGCTTTGTTCTGTAAAAGGATTGGCTTGCACAGTGGTAGGAATCGTCCCCCTTGCCTGTGCAGTTCCCAAAGAACATGCCAAAAAATATCCCATCGTTTCTTCCAACAACAAAACCACCCAAAGACACACATCTCCCTTTGCAAAGAAAACATGGCAAAAATATCCAGAAGGGATTAGGTGGTCTCTTTTGGGCCAATTACTTTGTTCATCTGTCTATAATATAGAAAGTAATTCAAAACAGATTACAAAGATGCTTGTCAGTAAAAGGAGGGAGGGGGAAGAAAAAACCAAAACAAAACTCCCAATGATTTTTCTTTTTAAAGAAGATGTTATCTAAAGCTATTGATAAATGGTTGAGCTTCATGAATACAACTTGGGCTGTCAAGTTCCAATTATTCAGCTGAGTTTTCAAACTAAAATCCGTTAAAAACAAACAAAAGAAAACCAACAACAACAAAAACCTTTAAAACTTAACAACACAGCAACATATTGCTTCCAGGTGTAATTATACATTTCACATCTCTATACAGTCGTTAGTCTACATTTAGTGACACTTTTAAATCAATTATTTTAAACTTTCCCCACCCCCCCTTTGCCAAAAAGGAGTGGGGGGTTGGGGATCAAATACAATGCATCTTCATTATCAATGTAGAAGCAGACAGCTTTATTTAGTCAGTCATTGTTAGAAAGCGTTCTTTAAACAAAATAAATATATTACAGATATAATACATAATTAAAGATTCAGGTCACTGATAAGTATGCCTATCCCATGTTCTTCCAAGTAGGTATCTGTAAGATTTGGTATCACAGGTTCTTAATGAGTATTCACAATTCAATAGCAAGTAGGAAGAGGGAGGGTTAAGGAAGGGAATGAAATTCCACAACCACTTGTGAGTATCTGGAACCCTTGGTTTTAGATGGGGGTGGGGGTGGGGACAAGATGAGAGAGCAAAGTGCTACAAGAAGGAGTCCAGTTCGCATGAAGGTTTATCCTTAATAAATAACTTCGTAAACTGTGGCCTTCTTATCTCCAGAACCGGTGACTATGTATTTGTCATCCACAGAGATGTCACAGCTGAGCACTGATGAGGACTCTTTGGACTGGGGGAAAAACACATGAAGAAAAATGTTGAATACAGAACGAAAACTCACACACACACACACACACACACACACACACACACACACACCACCCCCTCCATCCCCTCACACCACCAGCCCCATCATACACGAGCCCCTCACAGGGGAAGATAGTTGGTGTATCTTAGAGAGAACAGAGCTAGCTGGGCCTGCTGGGGGCTGTGCCGCACCAGATTAAGCATGGTTTACCAGATAAGGGCACACTAACCCTGGAGGTTCCTGCCTTTGGGGAGAGGGAGGCGAGAGTCAGTGATAAAAGCCCTCTTTTAAGTAAGGCTCTATTTCCAATCCTGTTCTTCAGTTATGAAGGGGCTTCAAAAAGTTTGTGAAAAACTTCAATTTTGCTTTAACTTCTTTGGTCCGAGAATTTTTTGGAAGTTCCCTCCAAATGAGAATGAAAAACTCTCACCAGAAGTCAGATGGCTTGAATGGAGTTTGAGCTGTGAAAATTCCCAACATGCCTGTTTCTTTACAAAGGCCAACAGGTAAAGAAAGATATTTACCTGCTGACCATCGCAGAGGGCTGCTGCAGAGTAACGTGGGATCACACAGGGGGAAAGGCCATTAAATACTTACCTTTTCGGAGATAAGGAATGCAAAATTATTCCTACAAAAACCGGAATTTCTCCCAATATAAAAACTTACATGAGGGATGGTCTGAATTATTTTTTAAAAATAAACTGTACTTAGAATTCTGTTTATCATGTTCAAGTACAATAAATATGTTGCAATGTCAACTTCTAACCGAACCATGCTAATATAAAAGAAATCCCAGGTCAGTAGTTTTTATCAATTATTTTAGAGTGACGCAAGAACTATCCCAACTGTTGTCAAGAAGAAAGCAGTTAGTACTAAAATAATATTTAGCTGACCTTTTAAAACAAGGAATAGAGGCAAAAAAGGATCCGAAATATCTGAGTAGTTTAAAAAGAAAAGAACGGATGACATGTAGTTGCAAACTTTTGATTGCAACCAATAGGAAACATATTTTCCTTCACACAAATATGATATAATATTTTTACCTATTATAAAAGACACATAGCATTAACTTGTTAATTTATAAGATGCTGCTTAGGACTACCTGAAAAGTTGCCATCCACCTTATGAAAAATGAAACACTCAAATACAGCTTAAAAAGTGGGTGGCAAGAACGGCGTATTCTGTCTACTGCACACCGTTTCTACACAAGTTACAATTTGGATGCTCTGTACATAATTTTACAGGCTCCAAAAGGTTGCGTCAAATCAATATAAAAGAATGGAAATTCATAAAAAGAACCAAAATTTATGGAATTATCATTTACTACTCTTCTTTTATGGGGGGAAGGAGATTCAAAGAAATGCTACTGAGAACATTTAAATAATTTGTTCAAGTTTTAAACATACAAACATAAGAGAGACCCAAACAAAAAAGAAACTCACAACCAACCTAGAGACCAGAAACTTCAGTTAATCAAGTGATAAGGGATGCAGGGTTGAGCAGCTGGTGAACAGCACATTGGGGACCAGCCCTGGCACTGAAGTCCCAGCCATGTGGCAATGAACCCCAGTTCCCCAAGACCTAATCATCACATCTGCACACTGTGAGTCACACTAACTTCAGCCACACAGGACACATGTGTGCACTCTTCATAGAGAGCGTGGCGACACAAGCGACATGCAGTGTGTGGTACAATACAACGCCACTCAATCAGCTGTTACCTGAAATATGCTGGCCCCGTAAGGTGTTCTCCAGGCATTCAGAAGGTTGTCCTTTCCAGTGCTTACAAACCACTTGCCTGTAAGGAGGGTTCAAAAAAAGCACGTCTGTGTTACTTTGTCAGACACCAGAGACTAGCGTTACAGAGCTTCAACATATTTACGGAAATTGCCTTTGTAGCAGTGCTTTCTTCACTTCCAAATAAAAGCCAGCCTTCCTAGATGTGCTGAGTCATTGATACTTATGACAATGACCGAGTGGTTAAATGCCAGAAAACTACACAGCTGTAGGAGGTAGGTGTGTGTGCAGAAGTGAAGCAACATAGGAGGAGGACCCCTGACTTAGCGCGACAGAAGGGGGACAGGAGGAGCTTGCTTACCACAGTGGGCAAACTTGAGTGACAGCACACAACTCTCATGCAGATGTAGCTGGTATTTGTCAGGCTTGGTGACATGCAGCACTTCCACGTTACTGTTCTCCATCCCCACTGCCAGCCACTCTCCAGTCGGGCAGTAGCCCAGAGAGAAGATCTAGAATGAAAATGGGTTAATTGTGAACCGGCTCCAGAGGCCATGCTTGCTTGAGCAAGAAGTAAACAGTTCTTCTGGAGACACAATTCAAATAGTGGAGGAGATCAACTTGAGAAGAAGACAGGCAGGAAAACAAGAGTCAAACGGGGCAGCCCTCAGTAATGAGACAAAGCTCCACAAAATAATCGGCTCACCAATTACACAGATCGCAAATGTGCACATAAAGCAATGATCTTTGAAATGGAAAGTATCTCAAAGCTTCTACTAAAAGATATATTTTTAGCTCTTTAATGTAAGATAGACGAGTTTTTTGTATTTAATAAATATACTAATCAATATCCCTTTAAAAAACACAACTTGGGCAGGAGAAGCCGACATTTGTCAGTTATTGAATATGGCTTTGTCCTACATGGCACTTTATCCTAGGAGGCACACGGCCCTCTTCACATGCCCCGTCTTCCACAGAATCCACCGACTGAGACCGAACCTGGGACGTGAAGTCGTGCTGCTGCAGCTGCCGCCCCTCGCGCAGGTCCCAGGACCTGACCGTGTTGTCCAAACCGCCCGTCCAGAGCTTGGTGCCATCGTTAGAAATGTCAATACAGCTGGCCCCGTCTGTGTGGCCCTGGAACTGTCTGCAAGTGTCAAAAAGCGAGAGAGAGAGGCCTTGAGAAGCCGAGTTTTCTTTCTTCTTCTTTTTTTAAAATAATTTTATCGGGGGCTCTAAAACTCTTTTTAAAAAAAATAATTTTATTAGGGGCTCATACAGAGAAGCTGAGTTTTCTGTTGAACTCAAATTTTAGCCTGTCTTGGTGATCAATTTCACTGTAGTCCTTAATTGTAGATCATTTTGGTTTATGGTCTATGTATTCAAAATCGGTCAAACATTACATTTTAACTGAGATGCTGCATTTCCTATACTTTTATTCTTTTGTGAATTATTTGGGTAGTTCACTGTGAGGATGGAATGGCAATCACTGATGGAGAAATATCTCCAAATGAACTAAAGCTCAAGAAAACACACCACCTATAAGGACAAGAAGAACTAACTTCAGGCACATTCTGAGGCCTACACTCTCGCAGCGATATGGAAGGACACAAAATTTCAGAAATGGAGGCAATATTTGACAGTGAGCAGTCATGCAGCCAGGGGTGGCTGTACACAGCAGACAGGCCAGGCTCTTAAGCTAAGACCTGGTCTAAGTGAGACAGCTGCCGAAGCAAGCACTTCTGGTAAGATGTGCAGAAGACATTGCGGGAGCTGAAGGGATGGATGAGAGGCAGTTCCTCACAAAATCCTTTCTAAACAGGAAAAATGATGCTTATTTTGAGTTTAAAGCCAAATATGTGGGGGGAAATGGAAGAAAAATATGGAAATTTGCCATGAACTTTCTGAATCCCTCTTGTATATATGGTAAAACAACAACCATTAAGTTTATTTTGACTTAAAAGGATGCTACATAGGATTCTGAACTGTCAGCCTTGTAGTTGGCAACCCAGCGCTTAACCCAAAACACCAACACCATTTAAAACAAGTTCAGTCCTAGATAGCTGCAAATGGACAGTTTACAGGCCTCTTCTCTTAATATGCTCACCTGAACTTGAAGTTACACTTGACTACAACCTCCTTTCTCCCTTTACCTGATCACACGTCCCGATTCCCACCTGCTGACATCTGGAGACTACATGCAAGGATTTGCCTACCAAGACTGGTCCCGCTCAATCTTATTTCCTACCAGGCATCAGAGTTAGGCTTAGACATTCTTGATGGTGGGGTGACATGCAATCTAGCCCAATCCAGACTGAGCAGGACCCAACACAGGGCTCGGGCCCATATGCTACGAATCTTCAGTACTTAAGTATCTACCAACACTGACCATGTCAGCAAGCAGAGGCTGTGCATTACAGGCACAGAATGAAGGCATAAGGAACCACTTCCAAGCAATTAGCCGCTGCAACCCCACTGAGCACAATTCCACTCTGACACAGGGTTGACCTCAGTTGCAAACTGACTCAATGGCAACTAACTTCAATAAGTCCATGAGGTCACAGACACCTTATGTTGCATTCCTTTTATGTCACACTGACCTCATTAAAAAAAATCACATTGAAGATGCTTAGAATAGTCGGGGGGTGGGGACGGACTACAATAATAACCAACCCCCCTCTCATTTTATAAAGTTTAAATAATCCTGGAGACAAGATTTTATATTTTTCTTTCTAGCCTATTAAAATGGACCTGCTTGTGACAACAAATAATCAGATAATTATACAAAGGGGCTTCGGGAAGGTCATGGGAAAATGGAATTTAAAAAATCTCCCCTGAACTTTTTTTTGAAGTGCCCCCTCCTGGGGGTGGTGGGTGGTATTTCATCTCTTTAGAGTAAGAGAGACAGGCGGAAACACAGCACGTGGTTCACTATGGCCAAGCTGGGTCCTCCTCAGGGCTTGGTAACCTGTCCTGCGGACCCACCTCACCAGCGTCTGGTTGTGCAGGTCCCACACGGCGATGTTGCCGTCACTGCAGCATGAGAAGCAGACCTTGGAGTCAGGGCTGATGGCCAGGGCGTAGCAGGCAGGAGCTGAGGACGTCAGCTCGGCCTTGATGCGGGGAGTCGGAGCCGCCAGGTCCCAAATGGAAAGAGTACTGGCTTCCCCTCCCACAATTAGGGTGCGCCCATCAGGGAGCAATCTGCAGGAACGGATGTAGTTATCCCTGTTCTGTGAAGACAAAAACCATCAAGAGATTACTCATGAGGAAAGGAAAACAGCATTAACATGAGAGCAGAAATCCATAAAAGTATTGTGTTCCCTCCTGGTTTTAATGAGCCATTTATACTTATGACAATGATAAAGTGGATTAATGCTAGAAAATTACATGAAATTAGGGAAGTACTTAAACTTGATCTTCAAAACCTAGTAGGGAGATATTTAATCTTAATTAGCATCAAAATGCAAAGATGTAGACTTTCCCCCAACCCACCCCCACCCCCACATGGAGAGCTTTGTGCAGCCATCAGCTCCTGGAGTCATCTGTACACACAGACCCACACATACACTAACAGGGGCGTTCCCACGATCCCTGAGGAGCCAGCCAGACAGGAAGGTCGGTGGACTTGACCCTGCTTTGGCAAGTTTGGCTGCTGCTGCCAGGAAGGCGTCAAGGGGTTACAGGCCTCTGGAGTCTGTTCCTCCTGCACGGTGTGGCATGATCTGACTAAAAGGCATTGTGGATTTGATTAAATCAGCAGCAATCGGAGGTGAGAATCAAGAAGTGTTAAGAGACGGAATGGGGCAAAAAAAAAAAAAAGTCTCCCAGAAATATTTAACTGCTGGTATAAAGGAAGAAAACTAAAATGAAATTTCCTAACCAGCTCAAGGACAAATATTAATGAATCAGCTGAGAGGTTATCTAGTGCCTGCTGCATGCAGTTACCAAGTTCCTCGGTGCCCGTTGGCTAGAAGAGGACTTCCAGTGCATCCTCATTGAAACTACTGGGTGCACTCAGTTTTTGTAAACCCTGGGCTCATATTTTGGTCTAGAAAAGCCAGTCCCTGGGTAATGCAAACAGTTAACTGCTAACATTGCTGGAGATCTGAGTCCACCCGGAGGTGACCTGCCAAAAAAGTCTACCAATCTACTTCCAAAATCTGCCACTGGAAACCTCATGGAGCTAAAAGAGCTGATGAGTGAGACCCCTGGGATCATGGCCATTAGCCACCCTTCAGGTCTGGAAATGAACCTACCCCCATGACTCAATTTCCAGCCCAACAACCAAGTCTACAGGGTGAGCACGAAAGCAAGGCAGGTACAGAGTGCGGAGACTCATTAAAAGGGCAGTATTTGCCCCGGGGCTAAGTTCAGACGGGTTAGGAAGGAGAGAGGACACAAAGGGAGGAAGTAGGATGTGATGTTTCGATGAAGGCGCCGCCATCGATGAGATGAAACAAAATGTATATAAACTGGTGAATGTAAAACTCATCTGCTGGGTAAACCTACATTCAATTCCCAATAGAAAGCGGAAGGGGCACAACCAGAAAAGAAATCCCCACGGAGCCCAGTTCTATACCAACAAGCATGGGGCGGCCACAGTTTAATGGCCTCCATGCCATGGGCGTAGTCTAGGAAAGCGAGTGTTTTCATTTTCCTGTTCCCAGGGAACGTCAATGAACACGGTTCTGAAGCATGCTCTGCACATGAAGAACAGGGTCACTTTGCCTGAAGGAGCTGAAAGACAACCGATGTCCTCCTTGGCCCTTTCTTTACATCTCCAAGTGTGAGTCCACAAACCACCACCATGGCCAACTGCCAACTTAGGACCCACACTAGGGTGCAGCTCTTAAGTACTCTTGTACCGTTTTCTCGCCCAACTTCCTCTTGCACCCCTTCCCCTCTCCCAATTTTCTCAATAAGGGGTGCTGAACGTCCTTGTTCACTCACCAGGCAGTCGAGCTGAGAGACAGGGCTCTTGTTGCCAGGGTGGCTGATGTCCCAGACCTTGACGCAGCCCTTGCCGCCCGTGTACACGTGCCGCGTGGGGTTGCTGATGGTCACAGCGCACACCACCTCCCCGTGGTTGAGAGTGTTGATCTGGCGAGCGTGCCGGGGGATGCCAGGGCCAATGAGGGCGTCGGGGGGGAAGGGGACAGGTTGCATCTGACCATCTGCACTGACGTGGAAGGAGTATGCTCTAAGGCAGTGGAGGAGAAAAAGAAGAAGAAGAAAGAGGGCATGTACAAATGTTATTCAACTGCCCAGTGTAACTTGGTGAAAAATAAAATTGCTGGTACTGCTTACAATGTACCATTCAGCAAATCTGCCTGGTCGTGGAAAGAACAGTTTTCTGAGTCAGAGACAGGGCCAACTCTCCTAGCTGCTGGATGACACCAGCACTTACTTAACACCTCTCTGAACTTTAGTTCTAACCTCTAAAATGGGGGCAGTATTGCTTCCTCTGGAAACTGTTCTGAGATATATGATAACCAGGGACAAGTCTGGGGCCCTACGACTTCACTGCTAACTCACACTAATTCAGAGGCCTGCCATGATCCAGTCAAGTGACTTCCTTACAACACACCAAAATTATGAAACTTTAAGGACTCAAGAATCGGTAGGCCCGAATTTTAAAATGGCAGACATGCAAACATAGGGCTTTATCTATCATTTTTCTAAAATGCCTTGATTTGCCTTGACAATCACAAATCCTAGTAATTCCAAATGGAATTAGATGGCTAAGAGAAAACACACTGTGGGAGTGCCCAGAGGGCCCACCTGTGAATACCTATCAGCAGCTCCATCTCCAATTCATTTCCAGGGAAAGCCCTCAGGTTGTGAAAGCGGTTGGTTCTAAAATGAAACTTGAGGGAGAGCTTCTCCCTCACAGACCCATCTCTATTTTTAGGATGTGGGAGTTGGGGCGGGCTGAGGAGTAGGGCTGTGGGGAGGGACGGTGACTGACCTGCCAGCTTCCTGGAGGCAGATGTCAGAGGTGGGCAGGAGGGAGGGGTGCCATCTTGGGATTATCACAGGCACTATAGCTCCCATGGAAATGATGACACTCTAGAAGACAGGGAGCTTTGGAATGTGCTGTCTGTGAAAGGCAGACCAGGTGAAAGGCAGAGGCATGTGTGGAAGCCTAACTGAGGGACAAGTGGATCACCCTGCAGGAGAGTATTCAAGCCAAACCAAAACAACTTCCGGTTCTGTAAAGCAAAACATCAAAGGAGTCAAAGTGCTGGTCTGCTCACTGCAAAGTTGGTGGGTGGTCCAACTCACCAGCTGATTGGCAGGAGAAAGATGAGGCTGTCTGGTCACAAAGATTTAGAGCCCCAGAAACCCTACACCAAGTTGCTACGAGTTGGAATCAGCTCAGGGGCAGTTGGCTTGTTTGGGTTAATACAAAAAAATCTATAGGCTGATCACATTCATTAAAATTCAACCCATTACTGAGGAGGGCCATGGTCAATCACCTGAGGCTCCCCAAATGATGAATCTGGGGTATGACTGCAGCGGTCTGAGGGCCAGCCTGCAGAGGATTTTGACTCTGTCTAGACTAGAGAAATGTGTCCCTAGAGGTATAGCTGGTTAGGCACTGATAGGGCTGCTAGCCACAAGGTCAGTAGTTCACGCCCAACAGCCACTTGGAAAGATGATGATGAAGATGTCTCCCCTTGTAAAGATGCAGTCTCAGAAACTCTAGGGAGTTATGCTATGTCCTATAGGTTAGGGCTGAAGTCACCTTTGGCAGCAGTGGGTTTGGCTGGATTAGACTGCAGAGAAAGGCTCAGGACTGGGTTTTAGAAAAGAAAGGTGCATGTCACTTCAAGGGATAGAGGTGGAAAATTAGGCAAACAACGGCTATGCAAAAAGGCTTCCAAAAGGTTGTAGAGAAACTCTCGGTGTCTTTTAATTCCATTTTCCCACAGACTTTTAGAAGCTCCCTCAAATTTCTTCATTTAAATCAATAGGACCAAGGGATTAATGAAGTGTCCAGCATGGCGGGAGGAGGGTGGGTGTGGGCCATGGAAGAAGACCCTCAGGCTCACAACCAGAAAACCAGGTCACAGCATTCTGTCACTGCCACTGAAGGGGGAAATGACAATGAACAGCTGTATACAAAACAGCCGAGTTAAAAAGGGGGGGGTCTAAGTCACCTAAGAAAAATGGTATGAGGAAATGGCAACTCTGCAGGCTAGTGAGGGCAAGCATGTGTAATCCCCGCTAATTCCGAAAATACTTATTAGAGGCCCGAAGTGTGCCACCACATGCTTAGGAATCATAAATGAACAAGACACGCCAAAGTCAGTACATGCTCCCAGACCTTACATCCTAGAGAGGAAATATAAACAGATCAACCAGTAACTTCAATAGCAACACACACACTTATATCACACCGAGCCTAGCCCACTGTCATCAAGTCGATTCCAACTCACAAACACCCCATCTGTGTATGGGGCAAAGTGGAACTATTCCTGGGGGTTCTCCAAATCTGTAAATCTTTACGGGAATAGATAGTCTCATCTCTCTCCTGTGAAGCAGCTAATGGGTTTGAACCACCAAGCTTGTAGTTAGCTCAATGCTTAACCCACTAAGCTGCCAGTGACCCTTAACTCCGGTTTACACACATACAGATAAAGGTCTCAGCTAAGAGTCGATGTGCAGAATGGTGATTGGGTACACCTCGAGGAACAGGCATGTGAGCAGAGGTGCAGGGCTTGCAGGCCGAGAGAGAATCTGCCAAATGGAAGGGCGGCAAAGCCCTTGTGGCAAGGCTGAGTGAGAAAGCCTTTGGTGGGTGATGACAGGATATGAGATGGAGCAGGAGCAGTGACAAAGCAAAAACAGAAGCAAAAGAGGGGTAGAGAGAATTTTTGAGTTCAATGGAGTCACTAGAGGCAAAGAATTGAAACGATCCAATGTTCTCCAGTGATCATTTTGGTTGCCAAGTGAAAGATTACTTTTATTTGGCAAAAGGGAAGAAATGAATGAATTCAAAGACTCAGGGATTGGTTACAGAAATCTGGGGCCACAGTTGGTGGCTAGGACCTGGGAGTCAGTGAGCAAACTGGGACCAAGTTTGAAAATCAAAAGGTCTGACTGCGGCTGGGGAGGGGGAGTGAGAGGGGGCGGGTGGATAAGTGGCTTGGACTGGAGGGGATACAGCTAGGGGTAGGGCAGGGTCTCTGAGCTTGTGAATAGGCAACTGCAGCAGAGTAGGGCAGGGCCTCATTTTTGATGAGGTAGTCCAACAGCTGGGGCAAGGTTACTAAAGTGTTCCCCTGTTGCTATGAAAGCCACCCAGGATGATGGCAAGCTCTGAGTGGAGTAAACCCAAGGCCATTTGTCCAAGTCTTTAATAAACTGGAGGAACATCCCAACAAAGTGAGAGGGGAGGGGTAGAGTTGAATGGCATGAGCCTGAGAGAAGTCCGATTTTCAGGAAATAGCGGAGGAGTTAAGTGCTGAAAGACATGGAGTAAGGGTGACCACAGCTTTTATCATTTGTACCGCTGGCCCTGAGGACTGTGGGGGTGAAGGCGATCTCAGGAGGGGCTCAGTGAGGTCCATTTGGGCAAGGGAGGGTGGGCAGTGATACTCTCAGAGAAAGCCTGAAATCCTAAAGGATGATGGCTGAGTGAAAGGCTAACTGATTTAGCAATTGAGTGGTCATGAAGACTCAATCTTAAAGGCAGAGAAAGGAAGGTTATCCCAAGTTTAGATGGTGTTGTACATCTTTAATGACCATTTATTAGAGAAGACAACTCTCTCGGTTCTCTAGCTTCACTAAGTGGTTTTTAAAGAGCCCAAAGAAGTTAAACAGCTAAGAAACCAGACAAATAATTTCTTTTAGGTTTTTAATATGACATTCTTAAATTCTTAAAAGTAAGTAAGTAAATAAATAAACACTGTGAGCACCTACTATGTTCCTGGCACTTCTTCAAAAAAAGGACAAGAATTTCAAGTGTCTATACTTATAAGGAGAACATAATGTATCCCTCTATTTGCTTAAGAATACATAAAAGATACTTAAAAGTGTTAAGAAAAGCCTTTTCACACATTTATTACTGGAGTTCAACAAGCTCTTTAATGTAAAACTAGCAAAGAGTACAGAAATGTGTAAGAAAAAAAGCCACCATTTACAGAAAGCACAGATTTCAAGTTTGAAGGGCTTTTCTCTTCTATTCAATTTACATGTGTCAACCTTGGTGGCACTCTTGGGCAGGGGCTGGACTGCTACTGGCCAAGTTGACAGTTCAAATCCACCAGTCACTCCACAGGAGACAGCTGAGGCTATCCGCTTCCATGAAGATTTACAGCTGGGAAACTCCATGGAGGGCCACTATGAGTCAGAGTGGACTCGATGGCAGTGAATCTGTTATACCCTATGATACAGAGTGTATTTTAAGGACACAAAATCAGGCCAGGCCCTGGCCTTCTCTCAGAGGTAGATCCTAGTTTAGTACAGGGATAAGCAAAGTACAGAAGGGATTAGAACACCGGGTGAAAAATAACAGGGGCAGGGTTCCTCGGTGACTCAAAAAGGCCGAACTTCTGTTTCATGAGAAAGAAGGTACTAGAGATGGATTTTAAAGGACAAAGGAACACCATCTGGGAAGGAAGGTAGGGGGGAAAGCACTGGGTGGGAAGACTAGCCAATACCAAGGGCTACAAAGGAGGACGAAGTGAAATGGTATAGGAAAGGCCACCAGTGGTTTTGACCCTGTGTTTACAGCGGATTCTACAGTACATGGTTGGGGGGACCTGGGCAGAACAGAGTCTCATGGAAAGCCAGTAACATGATGCTATAAAGGAAGGGCATAGACCAAAAGCCTTAGATTTCACAGAGTGAGCTTTTCGCCGCCGCCCCCCAGCACCATCACCCCCGCCGCCCATGGGAGATTGTGGTGGTGGTGTAAATTATTAGACAAAGGCTTTAGTAAGTACAAAACACCCCCAAAACCCACAACCTGCCCATACCCCCCAACTAGGTTGCAAAAATCCAGTCTGATTTGGAGGAATAAGAAGCAATTATTCCAGAAATAAAAGAGGGAGTAGGGGAAGGGAACTAGCCCAGGGGAAGGATGGCAAGCTGAAGTAAGAGCGAATAAAAAACTCTGTAGGCACCAACTAATAAGATATGAGGAGGGAGCCAGTAATAAGCAAGTTTCTGGCTCAGAAAACCACAGGACACTAGCAGTTACAAAAATGGGAAAACTGGGAGGAAGCCCTAGTGTGGGGAGTGTAATGAGTTTAAGGAACAAATAATACAAGTGGAAGATTCCTTGCTGCTACAAAGAAGGGCTGGAGAGGGAAGGAACTGGGGTGCGTTCTCCCCAACATAGACGCTTGCTGCTGTACACATAAACATGCATGAGTATAACACATGGGCACACCAATAGCAAAGGAAGCCATGAAAAGCTAAGAAGAGCTCTTCAAGAAACATATTTTTGAGAAAAGACGACGAAGAAGAAAAATGTAGGTTTGGTTTCAGATTATGTTGTGTTTACTTTATGACAGGACCAGGCTTCAAACAAACCAGGTCCCTGAGAGCCAATCTCTCTGTAAAACATGTGCCCTGGCTCATCATTTTTTATTGGGTTTCAATGGAAGCCCAGCGTTTTTATACAGTGCTCAGCCTTCCCACCTCCACTCCACTTACTCTATTGTGTCAACTCATTTCTCCACACTTTGCAACATCTTCTCCACATTTTCAATGTCTCACATGATGGGACTAGACCTTAAATTCCCCATTAGAGGTCTACCTATTGTACTCCACAGAGTACAGGAGAAAATTTTGTTTCAAGTACCAAGAGCCCACTAGTAGTCAACAGATAATTGGATGGGTTTACCCATTTTGAAAGCTCTGTTGTATAAAATACAGAACCGAAAACCAAACACAAATTCAACAGAGAAAAGATTTCTACAGCCTGCAGCCCAGAAGCCTGGGATCTTTGCTTCTGTTCATTCCCATGCCATATCCCGTAACACATTTAGTGCTGTGCTTTTAAGAGCATTGCTTTCCGCTGGTCATATATGTTTCAGTTAGGTAGTAGGTAAGGGAAATAGTCCATTTTCAGCTCGTGCTGAAATTAAACTATGTTGTTATTCCAATTGCATACTGAGAGAAGCCTCGCTAATTCACTTGAACAGATAGAGGACCCAATGTGGATTATCAAATAAATGCCACTTTATTCATTAATTTGGTACATGAATTTAATTATAACTTTTGATAATATCTAACAGTTAATTTTGTAGAAATAATTAGGACAGAGATGCACAAGTTGTCTTTCTGGAGGAAAGTGGCAGTGTGTGGGGGATGGGTTTTAGTTGACACATGCTTTGCAGAAGCTTTGCGTCTTGAAAAGTGTTTTGTACAAGAGAAAGTGTCTCAAGTCTGTACTATATGATCTCGAGAGCCATCTATTATAATCATATAGTCATCATCATTTGTGCTTTAAAAGCTACATTGCAAAGCAGATATCTCTATATGTGAAAACTCACAGGGCCTTTAAATGGTTCAAGGAAATTTTCTCTTTTAATTCTTCATCTTCCTGCCCTGCTACATCATAAAGACATACGGATGGCAAAAACTTTGGAAATCCAGTTTACTCTCTAACATTCTTGGGTTATTCTGGTTCCCTAAACTATGCTGTCCCTTCTCGTAAGTCCTTGAGAACCTGATACAACTCAGGGGCAAGGCTGCAAGAAAGATGCTGCTATATTTTACGTAATAGCTACATGTACTAAATAAACATGGTGTGTAACATACACTGTCATCTTACATCCTCCTCATCAGGAAGTACCATCTCTGAACCTGGTGGTCAACTGGCAGAGTCAAAATTTAAACTTGGAGCTTTGATATACTGCCAACCACACCAGGTCTTGTGAAGTGTTATTTGCCAAGTGCAGGAAGTGTGATTCCACCATTTCTAGGAGTAAAATTTTCCAATAGTCTTCAACCCACCAAAGGACCCTTAACGATTTCATAATTCCACAAGTCGCAATGGGAAGAGAAAGGCAGTCCAACTCAAGCCTTTTCAAAAGCAGCGCTCAATGAGACAAGTCATGAAGCTTCGGTTATTCAACTGGTCCAAACCTTCCAATTAAGACTGTCATCCCTTCTTCATATATATCAAAATATACTCTCGAAGTCCCTTGGTGGTATCAACTGCTAATGCACTCGGCTCTTAACCAAATGGCTGGAGGTTCAAGTCTACCCTGAGGTACTTGGGATGACCCCTGATGTTCTACTATGAAAAAATAAACCATTAGAAGTGCTCTAGAGCACAGTTCAACTCTGGCACACGTGGAATGTTAGGAGCCAGACCCAAGGATGGCTTTTTTTTTTTTTTAAAGCACTTTCATTTTGTTTTTCCTTAGGGCAGCTGCTGGAGCAAGAAGCACCCGACCTCTTCTGCTCTGGTGGTTATCCGACAGCTTTGAGTGCAGCTGTGGTTAAACCATTAGCAAAAAGCATGCAGTACCTCAAAAAGAGAAGACACCTCTTCACCTGGAAACCACGCAGCCCTTCCCATTTCATACGTTCCAATAGAACGCAGGTGTTTGAGTGATTCAGCTAATCCGCTGACCTGGTTATTTAGTCACTGCTTGAAATCAGCCAAGCTTTCACCTTCAAATACACCAGGGTATTTGGTCAACAAGCCTTTTCAGTCAGTCAACAACTATTTGCAGAACACACGCAGGTATACAGAAGTTTATGGTAATTGATGTTCATACCTTCGACTCTCAAAGAAGCCAAAGTTTAATTTGCCTTGTCTCCCTATTAATCACTCAAATATTTACTGAGCAACTTGGCTATGGAGCCAGCATTATGTTTGAAGCTCACGGTAGAGTCTGTGGGAAACCAAGCCACAGAAGGAAGAACAAGGAGTGGGATGCATCAGACAGAAGTGAAGACAGGCCACGGTGGCGGGGAGCAGGATGTATGAGGAGCAGAAAAGGAAACCACAGGGTGCCTAACCATAGATTAGTGAATACGCAAGCAGGGAGGAGTCAGAGAGGGAGAGAACGGGACACACTCGTCTGTGAACATCCACTAAGAAGAAGCACATTCTACTCTAGGTCCTGCAGACACTTCTATGAACTGAATAGCATAACTTAAGCTCTACTGTCCTGTCCTGGAACTTGTATTCAAATGGGAGACGTGGTGCATGGCTGTGCCTGAGTATTAAAAGAAGCAGGGGAATAGAAAGAACGAGAGGGGGAGGACAAGAGGGGGATGCAACTTTACGTATGGTTGTAAGGTAACATCTTAGTGGCGACCAGAAGTGAAAGAGAAAACCACCCAAAAGGGGGGACCAGGAAGAGCAAGGGCCCTGTGGTAAGCAAGGGAAGCCTCACAAGAAGCGGCAACTGGGGGTCAAGTGGGGACAGCAGAGAGCAGGTAAGAAAACACTGACGATTGGACAGGCAGCCCAGGCCTTGCCACGTCCAGGGAATACGACGATGGGCTGTAGAGTGGTGAGGAGAAATCTACAAAAGCAAACTAAGCCCATTGCTCCCTCTGAGTTTGAATTGTGTTCTGGGAGCCACAGTTCTGTACGGTGTTCTCGGCTGTCAGATTTATGGAAGCATGGTTGCCAGGCCTTTGTTCCTGAACAAATATACACAAGTGACTACGAAGACAAGGAGAGCCTGCAGGGGGTGTTTCCCAAAAGAGAGAAGAGGAAAACAAAGCAGGGATTTCAAAGGAAGGAAGAACAATAGTGTGTCCTTGAGTCTTGGTGCCTGGAGAGAGCAGTGTTGGAAAGGTGCAGTGGCCTGAAGGGCACTTTAGTGGTATGGGATGAGATGTGGTGGGAAATGAGAATATGCCAGAGGAGACTGATCAAATGGTGTGCTGTGTTCTGTCTTTCCTAACTCAAGGGGGTATGTTGTGAACACAGAGCTTCCAAATGCCCAGCTCAGGGCACAAGAAGCCAACCAAGTAAGCCACCTTTTCTACAAATGGACCCTAGTCTGAGATCACTCTACAACCCCCACACCCCCACCCTGCCCTAACTTGCCCCGAGCATTTAAAGCCCCATGTTTTTTTTCCCACATACCTAAATTTTAAACGCCCAGGTTTGCTAACCAGACAGACTTTTTAAACGACTTTGAAATCAAGTAACCAATTTAGGAAGACCTGACTTCTGGAGATGTTGCTCTAAGTTGCATCCCCATATGAGAAGCTCTTGGAAGCTCAGGCTGTTAAATGAAACCCCCAAAACTCCTCTCTCCATACCATCTTTCCCTATGAAAAACACTCTCAAAGAATGGAAAATGCAAGCTAGGGGACCCTTCGACAATGATCAAGTTCCTCTGCCCAGGCTGCTGTCTAACCCACTGTCATCCAGTCAATTCTGATGCCGAACAATCCACGAGCAGCTGGTGGTTTGAATCACCAGTTGGCCATGTGGTCGGCAACCGGTGCTCATCCTACAGCACTGCCCAGCAGTACTCAAAGTCTGAAGGGCTAGCCAGGGACCAGGGGGACTCACATAATGCACAAGGTCACAGAAGTACTCACGGTTTTCCTCCTGGAATACCTGCCAGGTTTGGAGGTATTGCTGGCACACGCATGTGATGGTGTGGATCAAATCCAACCTAGAATTTTTCCAGAGAAAAACAGACATAAACTTGGTTATAGTCACTCCTTTGATCCCATTCAACACCTTTTCTATGACTTGGGAGACTAGGTTTTTAAGAGATTGGTACTTATTAATGAAATGAGAATGAGGTATAGGATATGAGGATTTACTGTAACAATTGGCAGCGGGAGACATACGATATATGAACAGTCGTTGAAGCTGATGGGAAGAACAACAAGTTAAACCTGTTGTCGCTGAGTCCAGTGTGACTCATTGGGAGCCTATGTGTGACACAGCAGAATTGTCCCCACAGGCTTTTCTTGGATGGAATCTGCTTGGAAACAGATCACCAAGCCTTTTTTCCCCTGGGTAGGGTCCCTGGGTAAATTCTAAGTGCCAACCTTGTAGTTAGGAGTCAAGTGCAAACCATTTTCGCCACCCAGAAACATTATGGAGCTCATTACAGTCATTAAACGATTTGCTCTACTTCTTTGTGTTTACATTTTTTTTAATGAAGTGAAATAAACTATTCATCTTACAAAAGGATGTGGGTCTCATGGTTTAATTACAAACAGCTTCACTGACACATGCATTCCATTTTGGCTCTAAAAATACCTCAATTTCTATACAATATAACTTTAGTTAAAAAGGAAAAAAGTATGAGAGCTCTCTCCTCTGAGCCTTTTTTGGCGGGTTGGGAGGTATAAGCCTTTGAAAGCCCATACACGTACCACAGGTGACCTGCCGTATGCAGCAGCAGCGGCGGCGGCAGCGGCAGCCGCACTCATCTGTGGGGAGATGTTGTGCAGTCCAGCGTAGGCGGCCCCCGGGCTGGTCAGCTCTCCGTTCATGCCGGCATGGGGCACAATCCCAAATGGGGTTGGGTATGGACAGGGAACTGCCATAGGGGTCCTCAAGCTCGAAGCTATAAGCAAATAGGGTAGGAGAAAAGAGAAAACCCAAGAACCTAAGAAATGCTTTAGTCGTATCTCGTTTATTGGGGGGGAAAAAATCATAACCCAACAAATAGTTATTTTAATCTTCTCAAAACGCATACAAGCCTTTATGGGGTTCATCTTATGTTACTGAACACCTGCCATGTGTCACACAAGGCTGGAACTCGGTACTTGCCTCAAGATAAATAACACTTTTGTAGTCATTCAATGCAAAGATCACATTCTTTGAAGGTGCTATATGCTTTTTATCGTTTTAAACATTTTACACACAGAAACATAGACATGTAGAACACACTTCTTCTTACTAACCCAGCGGATCAACTCCTGGCGGTTTCCCAGGAACAGGCCTCAGCCCAGGAGTGGAATTACTGCCTGGGGTTGGTGCATCAGACCGTGGAGTAGGAGTGTTAGACTTTGAAACAGGAGTGGTGGATTTTTCATTCTGGTGAGAGATAAAATGAAACATACCCACAATTAGAACACATTTTTTATAGTGAAAACATAACATGCTTTTCCAAATCAAATTATTTAATATTCAATTTTGAAAATATTCTTACCAAATTCTACATGCATACATCTGAATCTCTGAACTATATGTAAAAACAGCTGAATGCATCCTGTTCACACTACAGATCTTTAAACAACCGTCTATCCATTAAGCTAATAACCACAGGGCAATTTGGATAGAGGTCTTATATCATTTTTTCCCCCTGCTCACTTTAAAAAGGCAGAGTAAAGAAGCAGAAGCTGAGTGGCAAAGACTATAAAGGGTGGTAAAATAGGCTGTTTACCAGATTGGAATAAAGCCCTCTCAGCTGGTTAAACCACTTTAATATGCATTCATTTTTAAAGAAAATCTTTATTTTAATCTAAATAAGCCAATTGTGTCGGTGTTTGTGAATAAAATGCTAAAATGACCATTAAAGATGGGTGCTTGTAAAGTGAGCAGGAAAAAAATGATATAAGACCTCTATTCAAATTGTTTAATATTATCATAATTTTTATTATAAAAGACAGAGTAAAGACGCGGAAGCTGAGTGGCAAAAACTATGAAGGGTGGTGTGCACACCATTTCTGGAACCCTAGTTGAGTCAGACGAACACCGACCAGCATTTCCGCCTGGCTGTAAGAAACCACTCACTGGCTGGGCCTTCGGGTCAAACAGGTTGGCTTGAGTTAAGCTTTTGGCGCATGTGTTTCTGACACCAGAAGCGTCCTGGTTAGCAGAACTCATTGGAAAAGACGCAAACTCAGAAGTCGTACAGAATCTGCTCAAGGACGTTTCCATTAGAGGAGGACAGAAGGCCACAACAACAGAACAGAACAAGCAAATAAAACCTAATACAGCCCTCTGCCAGATGCAGTCTTCTAATTTGCAGACAAAATGAGGAATTCTCTTTCCTTTCAGTTGTAAATTCAAAGTTATTTGAAAATGAAATTCCTCCTTTCCCCCTTCTCTCTAGAGTTATATTATTAAAAGAAAGGAAATAACAGAGGGAAAACAGACAACACGCCACCCAAAAATGTAATTTACCACATCCATACAGAAGGAGAAGGGGTGTGGGGCAACTACCCTGGCTTGCAAGCAGTTCAATTTTGCATCTGTGATTTGTGGTGTAAGTCAGAGCAGACTCTTGTAAATGACAGATTACTTCTTAGATAGGAAGGGAAAATTATTGCAGTCATATACAGCTTGGTGAATTCACAGAAAGCTAACAACAAAATTACATTCAAGCCAAGCACTTATATATTCCATATACCACAGCGACTAAACCATCTCTGTAACCCATCTCCATGTGTTTTTTTCATCTTCAGCAAAACACATTTCACTCCATTTCCCCTATCCTTCGTCCATCCATGCAAAACGACTCACAAAACAACCCCCCATCGCCAAGTCAGTAAATCAGTCGGTTCTGTTCCAGAAATACTTTCCTAATTAAAACTTGGATACCTACTATCTACAAGTACTTGTAGGGGCGCAAGGAGAGCATTTCAGAAAAACGTGAAAAAAACAGAAGTTTCGATCAATCCCCACCATCCTGAAACAGGGAACGCTGAAAATGATGGGGAAGAAGGGCTTACAAGGCTAAGTTCTTTGGATTTGGAGGAAGGTGTGCTGCTGGAAGATGCAATAGAAGCTGGACTAATCGGGGCATCTTTCTTGAGCAGGCGCGTCTTGTCCAGCCCATTCTCCCTTGGGGAATGTGCTGGGCTCCCTCGAGGGGAAGATGGGTCCTACAAAGGAACATCCCAGGCATTAATACAGGGCAACACAGCAGTACTAGCTGACATTGTCTAATAGCTTACACGTGCAAAATGTTCTCAAATAGAGAACATTTGAGAAGGGAGTTAGGTAGGTTTTGAGACCAAAGAAAATACTATAATACTTATAAAAGAAAAAATACCACACTCATGGCCACCAAGTCAATTCTAGCTCATAGTGACCCAACTTAAAGAGTTCCTGAGATTGTAAATCATTATAGGAGCAGACAGCCTCATCTTTCTCCCAAGGAGCAGGTGGGTGTTTGAGCTTCTAACCTTGTAGCTAGGAGCCCAATAACTAAACTACAGCACCACACCAGGGCTCCCCATAATACCGTACATACTGGTGTATAAGCCGAGTTTTTCCACACATTTTTAATGCAGTTTTTGTGGTAAAATTAGGTGTCTCGGCTGATATTCGGATCAGCTTATACTCAAGTATATACAGTACTTATTAAAAACAAAACCACAAACCCCACATAAGTGCAAAATTATTTGTCAATAAATTCTGTGAGCTGACCACGGCTGGTATGCGTTTTCATGATGGTAAACAGAAGATAGTCGATACTTCATAGAAAATAATGTTCAGGCTTTTTAAAGCATCATACGATGCTTTTTGTGTGTTTTTTTTCTCCAGGTAATCAAACAGTGGAATTCTGTATTTTGGATCTAGTTGTTCACACACTAGCACTTCAGATAACCGTGTAAGACCATGAAGTGAAGCTAGTGATAAACATACCTCATTAGAAACGTCAACGACCAAGTTGTCATCACTCTTCTCACCATCACTGTCCTGCATCGACAATTAAGGAGTGTTATCACCTCCCTCAGCAAAATCAGTGTCATATTTTTTGGCTATATTTACCCGAGATAAATCCAAATGAACCCCTTTACACTGCCATCGAGTCAATGTTGACTCATAGCAACCCCCTGTGGATTGTAACTGTTTATGGGAGTAGAAAGCCCAGTCTTTCTCCTGTGGAGATGCTGGTGGTTTCAAACTGCCGACCAAAGAGATCACAGCCCAACATAACCACTACACCCCCAGGGGTCATAAATCAAGCCCAACTTGAAAAAAAAATGTTTTTATAAAAACAACAGTGCTAACTAAGCATGTTACATTGTACTATTTTATTTAACCCTCATATAATATTATTTGGAATGGATGATTCTTCCTATCCTAGGTTAAGAAATCAAAGCTTACAGCCTGATTACTCTGAAGTAGAAAGTGAAAACTAACGTGTCTATGCTGAACGTACACCAAGAACTATGCAGGGGGCGATGAGCTGGTCTGTCAGGGTTTGGTAAAACTAAGTAATTAGCCAATGTTTTAAAAGTGCAAAGGAGAAAAATAAAAGTGGGAAGGAGGCTTTCACCTAGAAACTCAAGGTTTTTCAGCATCTCTAGAAAATCATTCCCATTTGGGCGGCCCAAACCTTGCCTGGAACACTGGCGGGAGTTCTACACCCTCCATATCATTCCCACCCAGCTAGCCTCTTCTGTTTGCCTGCTTGGCCACTGAGGTCAAGTAAGTCTCAAGCCAAGTTATGAACATTCTGGATGTCTGAGTGTTGAAGTCCCCAGTACAAGTACATAGCTGTACATTTCAAACAGGCTTCTTAGGAGTTTACATTTCCCTTCGCATTTCTAGTTGGCCACAAAAAGTCAATCGATCTTGAATCTCTGTCAAAAATCCAATTATGTCCATAGAAATAATCCACTAGAAGATCAGATACTTCTATTAGCTATTTATTACTTTTATCAGCTCTTTTCTCTCTCTCATACACACCTGCATACTCGCCCATGCCCACAGAAGAATTCAGTTGGTCAAATTCCACCCATTCCCTGCCCCACCCTAGGTGTTTGTTTGTCTGTGCTCCAGTTTGGGTTCCCAACAAATGGGATAATGGCTGCTTTAGTAAAAAGCAAGCAAGAAGAACTTAGAACTTACGTAACGAGCTGCAATTTCCTTTTCTTCGGTTTTCTGCTTTTTGCTCTCAGACGAATAGTCAGTTGAGTTCCTGTGCTTCTCAGCACCTCGGAAACTGGCTGAGGGGGACACCGAAGAGCTCTGGAAGAGAAGGGGAAGTCAAGTTGAGAAACGACCGTCTACTTAGTGGTGCCGACTTCTCAAAAATCACTGGACACTATTTCCTTTGGTCCTTTAGTGCACATTTGTGAAGCTTTTCAGAGAAGAGGGAGAAGGGGTGAAACAAAGTAATGGAGTGGACAGGGAAATACAAGGTGAACAAGAGATACAAGGGCTGAGAAGGATGAAGAAGAAAGAGAAGGAAGAGCAGCGAACTGTCAAACCCCAAAGATCAAAACCAAGTTGTAGGAGGAGGGGCCCGGCAGTTGCCTGTATGCTTGTGTTCCAAATCTTAGTGATAGCCCCCCTCCCCCCCCACCATGGTGTTTCGGAATAGAACTATGCTCCATAGACTGGTTCAAATAATTTTTTCTTAAAGGAATAAACTGCCAGGCCTTATTTCCGAGGGAACTCGGAAAAGGGTAGGTGTATAGTATACTGTTGAAGCACTTTTTAGGAAGGAAGGAAGGGAGTGAGTAATGTGACTATGAAAAACTTTAAAAAGCCTGAGTAGTTGAAGGGGTGGGAGTGCGGGGGAGAGATATGTGCTGGGAGGGAGAGGGAAAATGAGGAGCTGATACCAAGGGCTCAAGTAGATAGAAAATGTTTTGAAAATGATGATGGCAACAAATGTACAAATGTGCTTGACACCAGGGGTGGATGGATAGATTGTGATGAGTTGTATGAGCCCCCAATAAATGATTTAAAAAGGGGAAAAAAAGGTCTGAGTAGCCGAGTCTTTCAACTAGGTATCAGAACAAGGCCTAAGAGGGTTAACATCACACAAGCAGGTGGTAGGAAGGGCTTTTCTTGGTGGGTGTTGGATAGAATGTTCTGAGATATAGTATTTAAGAAAGCAGGTTGCAGGAAGAATAATTCCATTATTTCCGGATAAATTCTACACTCAGTAAAACTCTCCCTCAATTTATTCATCTCATAAAGCCTCCTTTTGCTTTTTATAAAAATCTTAGTTGGCATTAATTAATATTGATAAAGACACACAACATTTACAAGGGCCTTTTAATTAACTAAGGGAAGCAGCATGCTATTCCAAACTTCTAACTCTATTATTTTATCCACTGAATCATAATACCATACACTCTTTCGTGGCTAGACTTTCAAAACCTTTTGTGGCAAAAAAAAAAAAAAAAAAAATCAATAGACTTTTTCCATGCCTCGGTCAGTGTAGCTACCAGTATATCACCTCCTAGTGGTCATCTGTGGAGACAACAACTTCACCACCAGCTCCAACCTTGAGGGTGTTGTACTGGGTGGATGCTGGGTAAGGAGAGGAAGCTGGAAAGGATCAATGAGTGAGGCTGGATATCTCTAAATCTTTCCTGCTCCTGGGCTAGTTCCTCTCAAGGGTTTACATAAATACTCTGCAAATTGTATGCACCCCAAACTCTACAACTATCCTGCATCAATCATGCAACCCTGAACACTCAATGACAGAAAAAAATGGCAAGCTTTCATTCAAAGATCAAAAAATAACATTAAAAAGCCAAACTAACTTTCTAAGTGGATTACTTCTAGACTGCCTGGTTTCCAATCCTCATTTCCAAGTCACTTCTCATCTTCCTCTTTTGTCTAATGTTTTGATTTCATTTCATAGTTCCATACGGCTGCTTCTCCTTCACACCACAACCTATTGCAATCGAGTTTCTTAGACTATTACCCACCCCCATCCATTTGTGAGCTACTCATACCCATATCTGAGCCTAAAACCCACTTTGGATCTTCCCCACAACTTGACCTCCTGCCAGTACTCTAAAATTCCTATTCCCCAAAATGACACCCGACCACTTCTCACCCCTCCTTAAAAAGGGATGTTTTCCACACTCCCTAAGAACAAAGAGCAACATCTGAGTTTGTTGTTTAAGAATGACCTCCTCCCTGGGGGATGGACAACAGAAAAGTGCGTGAAGGGAGAAGTCGGAGAGGGCAAGATATTACAAAATAATAATTTCTAAATTATCAAGAGCTCATGAGGGAGGGGAGCGGGGAGGGAGGGGAAAAATGAGGAACTAATATCGAGGGCTTAAGTGGAGAGCAAATGTTTTGAGAATGATGAGAGATGTGCTTTACACAATTGAAGTATGTATGGATTGTGATAAGAGTTGCATGAGCCTCTAATAAATGATTTTAAAAAAATGCCTTCAACTCTGTATCCCAATCCACAACCCTGACCTTGGGTCCTACATCAGTGCCATGAGCTTCTTGTCCTACCCACCCCCCAGAATTCAGTGCCACTGAGTCGGAGCCCTGTAGGACAAAGCAGAATTGTCCCTTATGCGTTTCTGAGACTGTAACTGGTTATGAGTAGAAAGTCTCATCTTTCTCCCATGGAGGGCTGTGGATTTCACACTGCTGAACTTAAGGCTAGTTCAATGCATAACTCACTTTGCCACTGGGGCTCCTGGTTTGCTCCCCAGCACCCCTGTATTTTCACTACATTTGTAGTCTGTCTTTCCTGGCTTAAGGGAATGTTCCTTTCTCAGGACCTTTCAAAATCTTCATCATCCTTTAAGAACCAGCTCTAATGACATTTTCAAGCTCCCTCAGACACTTTTAGGCTGATTTATACCTCACTCCCCTTTGTTCCCTTAACATTTTGTTCACTTAATGAGTACAGAGTACTCACCATGAATCTATGGCTAAGCCGTTTGTGGCCATGTCCCAGGGCAGCCTATGGGTTCCTTGGAGGTAGGGTGCCCAGTCCAGCGAGTGGATGAAAACCTCCCCAGACAGGTGAAATACAGAGGACTGTGAATTCCTCTCTGTACTCCTTAGTCTTAACACAGAGTCTATGTGATATATTGTCTCTCAGAGGTCCCCTGGGCTGTACAACCCCACAGGAAACAGTTGTTCACTAGACTAAGACGTGAGTGGCGGTGCCCAGTGCAACTGTGCAGTGTGGTGGTTCCGCCCTTCACCTGCACTCCTTTCCTTATTTGTAGGAGGGTTTTTTCACAGTAATTTGGTATTTTACAAGAAAATAAATGTGCACGCATGCCTATTATTAACTATGTGTGCCTTTTGATTTCGGATACACTGTGCAAAGTTACTTCCATTCTGTCTAAAACTGACTTATAAACAGTGATGAAATACTTTCATAAAAAGCAACAATAAATTTACACTTGTACAGGCATCCCTCTGAACTACGGGAGACTGATTGCTGCATATGTCAAAACCTGTACCGACTCAAGGCCCTTATATAAAATGGTGCCGCCATAGTTGCATATAACCTAGGCAATCCTCTCGTATACTTAAATCATCTCGATTACTTATAAAACCTAAAATACATTGTAAATGCTATGCGAATGGCATTTTTTGCTTCTGCTCAGCTGTTGGGGGGAGTGCACTGACCACTTAATTGCTTTGTTCAATCTGTGGGTACAGAACCCACGGATACTAAGGGTTGCCTATACACTAAATTTAACATTTCTGTGCTTACATATTTATTGGAATGCATGCACAATAGCTTTATTTTTTTGGTTAAGCTGACCATTTCTGGTTCTGCGGGCAGCTTTTGATTTGGGGATTTTATTGTATACCAGTTACATGTTAGAGGTTCTGGGTAGTGTGATAACATAGTTAATTATCAGTAACATTTAAAGGTTAAGCCGCAGGACAGGCACTGGAGCAATCAGTAAGGTCCTAAATAATGCAAATGTTCTGGAATCAAATTGGACTTGGCACAGACTTGCCCCATGAATCTTTGAAGTCCACCATTCTGCCACCAAAAGGCGATTTGGCCCTGGGCTAGGAGTGTGAATAGGAAGACTTGAATACTCATAGAGACAGAGTCTTACTTTTACTAGAAAAAGACTTATTTTTATATCCCCATTATTATTTTAATGCTTAGCTGGGTTAGCATTCCCTTCTAGAGTACTACATAAGAAATTTAGCGGTGGAGTTGAATCATAATCCTGGGTAAATCTACAATTTAGTAACATTAAACAAGAGCCTTTTCTCTTTACATTTTGATCATGTAAATTTATCAGGAAATTTGCTAGAAACTAAATCACAATCAAAAGCAATGGCTTATATCTCGAGAAGGCAAAATACCCTGAATACTTTAGTAAAAGGTTCCATTTTTCTACAGCATATGCATTTTTAAAAAGTAAACACTTATACTGGAATATTAAAACAAGGAAGTGGGTAGATATATTTGATGAAAGAAAAGGAGGACAATTAAAGGTAAAAGTCAAATGAAATAAAAAATGTAGAAGTCTTACTAGATGAAAATCTCAATCGCTCTGAGAGCAAAAGATTGGTTTCGGATGCATTATTCCTAACATTACAAAAAAGTTCCCATTAAAAAATGACATTCTAAACTCTACTTTGAAATCCAACTTAAGATTCTATTAAGGCTATTGACTACATAAGCTGACCGGAAAGCCACAGGCTTGCCCTCTTAACTCCTCACAACCCGTCCAAGATCGAAGACAGCGCATCTCCCCACAAAGGAAGGGACTGTTGGTCTGGTTGGCTAATTTTAATAGTAGGCAGCACAGATTCTAAGAGCAGGCAATTATAGCCTCTCTGGAATCAGACTGCCTGGGTTCGAATTCAGAGTCTTCACCTTAACAGCTATGTAAGTGTAGGGATGTTGCTCATTCTTTCTGGGCTTCAGCTTCTCTGTAGTCGGGGATAACCACTACCCCATGTCCACGTGGGTTGCAATGAAACTCACTCCCTGCCTTCGAGCTGATTGCCAATGAGTCAATTCCAAATCAATAGGAACCCTTATAGGTCAGGGAGAACGGCCTCTGTGGGTTTCTGAAACTGTAATTCTTTATGGGAGTAGAAAGCCTCATATTTCTCCTGCAGAGCAGTTGACTGTTTCCAACTGCTGACTGCAGTTAGCAGCCTTGCTCATAACCACTACACCACCAGGGCTCCTGGGTGCTCTGAAGATTGTGTGAAGTAATCATCCTCCTGAAGTACAAGGCATGACGCAAAACTGGGTGATGCAC